TGTTGTTATTGTTGTTGTTGTTGTTGATTGATGTCCATTTGTTAGAACATTATTTAAAAAGAAATTAATTTTATCATTTTCATAATTATATTCAGCTATTTCTTTTTCAAGTGTTGCAACTTTTGTACGTAATTCTTTATGTTTATTTGATATATCATTTGCATATGTTATTAATTGTACAGGTCGTTCTAATTCTTCAATACCTAATTCATGTGTACGTAATTTAAGTAAATTAATTGCATCTTCTAATAAAGTTTTAATATTATTTTCTAAACAATTAACTTTCATTTTTAATGTTTTATTTAATTCCATTTCATTATCTAATTGATTTTTTAAATGTTCACGATAAATATTTGATTTCATATATGTAAAATATTTAATAAGACGTTGACGAAATTGTTCTAAATATGAATTAATTGAATTAAATAATTGTTGATCATTTTGTTCTAATAAACAATCATGAAAATGATTTATATGAAGATTATCATTGGATAAATTTGTCATATTTTGATAATTAAATTGTTGATTTTTAATTTGAAAATTTTGATTTAATTGAATATATTTTTCTGATGCTGTATGTAATTCATTTAATGTTAATTGATAATCTTTATATGATGAACGACGATGTTTAGAATTAATTAATTCATCATCAGATTCGTCAGAATCAAATTCGGATTCATTATCTGATTGATGTTTTAGATGAATTTTACGACCACGTGCACTAATTATTGTTGATGAATTTGATGGTGATGATGTTGATATAGACGATTTTATTTTACGTTTACGTTTGGAATGTTTTGAATGATTAGTTGGTGGTTGATTTTCATCAATTTTGAATGTTTTATTGTGTTGATTATTTTTAATAATTGTTGAATATTGAATAGAAGAATTATTTGATGATGGTGATTGATCATCGTCATTATGTTTCAAATGACTAAACAATAAATTTAGAAATTGTTTTGAGATGAGATAACGAATCAAAGTAGAGTTCGATTATTAATAAAGAGATCTGTGACAATGATTCAGGTCGGAAAACTCGAGAGTACTGTAGAAACTCGGTAGCAAGTATCGAATGGTCGACTATTGAACAGATCATACAATTATGGTAATCTTAGATTTGTTTCGACTTTTTTTTGAATGAAAAAATCGAATTTGATAATTTCGAAAAATCTTCTATAGATTTGGATTCTTGAATCTTGAAAAATTTTTGTTTCATTTTTATAAAATTCAGCTATTTGTTAAAATACTTTTATCATGAGTCTATCAGTGCATGTTTAGACTAATGCAAAACAGTGCACCGTCACTGTTGCATCCCCAGCTCCGAACAAAACTAGAAAATTAGACCATACAAATTTTGTTTCCTAATTTCTTAACCTTAGGAATTAAGTTAGTGATTTTATTAATTAAAAGTCATGATTTTTTTTTTGTTGGTGCTTTGTAATGATTTATCCATTTGTATGAGCATTTAACTAGATAAGATGTAATTGAAGGATTTGAAATATAAATCTAAGAAATTTGAACAGAAAATAAAATTAGATCATTTTTAACTAAGTTTTAGTCTTGGTACTGCTTGCTGGTAGTCGATGATATGATATAGAACTAAATATTTTGTCGAAAGTTTTAGCAATTTCTTCTTGTAATTAAATATCAAAGTCCAATTAAAGAATTGCACATAGTGAAGAAGTTATGTTTCAATTAATGGCAAGTAAATCATAGGTACTATCTTTAAGAAAGATTGAATTTTATAGTACAAACAGGAAACATTCACAGGTGATCTATTCCGTTTGCGCTTTTGCCAGTAGGTAAAGTTCATCAGACTGATATCAAAGTCGGATCAGACTCCGAAAATTATGGACCAGATGGGTTCTACATGCAGCTCTGCATTCATCAATCGGACTGCTACTGATTCTATCTTTAGAGTGCATCACTTAAACATGTGCTCGCCTTAGTACATTTTATAAACCAATCAAAATTATTTTAACTTGTTAGTCTATGAAGTTTTCTGCTATATTCGAACATAAATAATCATATATTTACAATTATGCATCTAAATACTCATTACTAGACTTTTTATTTTTCTTTTTTTTTGAAATGTAATTCCAAAAAAAAAATTATTCATTCTGACTTTTTTTTTTGCATAAATTACATTGAATTATAATAATAATAAAAAAAAAAAACATTTCCAAAAGGAAATACTTACTTTGTTTTTGATCCTTTCGTATGAATTTGATGCATTTTTTCATAATAAAGTGCTAATTTGCTATGATCAATAACATGAAGATAATATTGAACACATTTATCTGACCAACTAACTTTTCCAAGAAATTCTTCTGGTTTTCTTTAAATTCAAACAATAAAATAAATTTACAAGTCACAATACATTTTACTTACGTCACATGCATAACAGCACCTAAATCATTTTTTGTTCTATCATTAAGTCGAAATGTTTCCGAACAAAATTCTCTTGATGAAACAATTTTTGCTCCATCTAATAACAATAAATCAAAAAAAGAACGAATAAAAACAAAATTTCTTCATCATTTTTTTTTTTCTTCCCACCTTTCATATTCATAAATTTAACTTTTAATTCATGATTAACTGTTGAACCAAATACATAATTATTAGCAAAAATTACATCAGCTTCTTTAATTCTTTCATCAATTTTTGGATGTATTAAAAAATCTCCTTGTTCTAATTGAAATTCTGAATAACGTTTACCATACCAACGCATCCAAAAACGAAATTCCTCAGCCATAGCACGTGCATATGTTGCTGGAGTTTCTTCATGTTCAATACCATAAACATTTTTACAATTAGCTAATGCAGCAACATGTAAAACAACATTTCCAACACCAGAACCAAGATCAATAAATGTTTGATCTTCAGTTAAATTAATTATTTTAAGTATTGAATCAATTAAATCTGGTGATGTTTCACCATAAACCTTGAATAAAACAAAAGAAAAAAAACCTATATAAATAAAGAAAACTCTTCGTATTTACTGATGGTGAAAATGGTTCATAATCCCGTAGTTTATCTGGATCAGTTACAGATCGACTATATACTTGAGCAAGTATATGACGAAATAATTTAGCTGTTGGACGTTGTTGAAGACGTGCTGAAAATGCTTCTGTGCCACGATTTAATTTGACATGTGTATCAATTATTTTATTAAATTTATCACATAATTCTTTCATTTTACTATATGAATGTATATCACAATTATCAAGACCAAGATTTTGTTGATATAGTACAGGATAATCTTTCGGAAAAAAAATAATAACAACAGAATTTTTGTATTCTAAGATTAAATTTAATTAAAAAGAAAAACCTTCAAAAACTAAACGAATTGTTCGCACAATTTCATCACCACCGATAAAAACTGTATCTTTTTTTGTTTTCTAAATTGAATTAAAAGTAAATAAATAGAAATTTTCAATGATTTACTTGTCGTTCAATATTTGGCCATGTAAATACAGCCGGCTCAACACCAGCTGGACTATGAAGTTTAAGTTCACGCACTATGTTATTATACGTCATATCATCTAGAAGGACAACAGCAATTTGTTTTTATTGAGTGACTTTTTTTTATTATTTCAAATGATCGGCTATTATACAATAACCACATAGAATCCTATATCGTCACAATCGGATGATTTCATTTGAAAAAGGAAACCGCAAAGGGTTGATTGGGTAATCTGTTTTCACTTTTTTTTTCTATGATTAATTGCTTGTTATTGACCAATTGAAACAAAAATATAAATATAAGATATTCTATTTCAAATCAAATATTTTCTTCAATGAATTTTTCAGTTTTATTTTTAAAATAAATCAGCTAGAATATATATTTCATATAGATGGCACTGATGTCCACTCGTAATCGAAAAACTTTAATATAACAATAATGGTAAACATAAAAAACTTTACTACGATTAATATTAAAACAATGTTTACAATACTACCGACGACAAAATACTTCCGAATCGTATTTTTTATATAAATATTGTCTTTACAGTCAGAACAAATGAATGTAGATATAAATATGCATTGTAAAAGAGCCGACGCTTAAAATAGAAATAGACATTTTATACGAAGATACAAAGTGTTGACGCACCGTACCATGTAATATTTGTTAGCGGTCGATAGGAATTCTAAATGTAAACAATTTGTTTATATATACTTGAAATTTAATCAAAAAATATCACGCAAAAAATATGAACATTCTTATCAAAAGAGGTGTTAAATTGTGTTCTGAGATCCTCAGAATCTGAAGAAGAACGTTGCTGAGCAAAAACAAAACAATGAGATATATTATTCACATATTTGAAGATAGATGTCGAACTCTTTACTTTTCTTTTACATAGAAAATGCTTAAAATAGTATTCATTAAATTATGAAATTGCTCCATGTGTAAAATATTTTTTTGCATGAAGTTTATAAAATTGAAGTCATTCAAATTAATTAAAATAACTAAACAATAAAATCCAGTAGGTTTTTTCAGAATGCAAATCCACTTAATAAACAAGAGTTAATCGGTTGCATATATAAAAAAACAAAAACAGTCGATATTTTGCTTTTTTTTTCTATGTTCTGTTAGCTCTTTTTTTTTTTGCATTTCTTCTTTTTTATTACAATGCACAACTATTAGTCGTATCGTCGAATGCGTGTCACATTAAACGTCCTTGTTGTACAACCTGATTTTTTTTTCTCATGATGTTTGACTCATAAATCGCAAAATAGAATAGACAATATCTATGATATTTTTTGTTTATCAGTAGATTTATTTTCTAACGAAAATAATGATTTATACAGTATATTTGAAACTATTCCCGCGTATTCATTTTCGGTGACAGCTGGCTGAAAATGATTTTTTTTCTTTAAGTAATTAAAAAAAAAAGTTTGGCATCATTTTTTTTTTTCTTTTCTTTGAAACAGTGTGCAATTATTATGTCGAATCCACTATTGACTATTGATTTTTTTTCTACTCTTTGGTATAGATCATGAGAAATGATAATAAAAAAACCAATGCGAATATAACATATTCACTTGAAGAATGTATTAATTATATTGGGTTAGGAAAATTTCAATGGCGTCTAATTGTTATACTCGGTTTTTGTTCGATGGCCGATGCAGTAGAAATGATGCTTTTAGCTATTCTCGGACCAGCATTAACATGCTATTGGCCTAATGTAACTGAAATTCAAATAGCTTCTTTAACTACTGTAAAAAAAAAAAAGATTGTTTTTTTTTTGTTTCTTTCAAACTTATTAATAATTTATTTTTGTTGTTTGTAGGGTGTTTTTGCTGGTATGATGTTTGGAGCATTTTTATTTGGTATTCTAGCAGATAAATATGGTCGAAAACGAGTCGTTCTTATAAGTGCAATATTAAATACATGCTTTGGAATATTAACAGCTTTTACACCAAATTATTATTGGTTACTTTTAGCAAGAACACTTGTTGGTTTTGCTTTATCAGGTGCTGCTCAAGGGTAAGTAAAAATAAAGATGAAAATCGCTTTATTTATTTCTATGAGTGAATTGTAAAAGAAAATAAACGTAATGGCTCAGATTGGATAAAGTTCTTTGCTTTTATGTGGATGAAACTAAATTAAAAAAAAAGTTTAGTTTTGATCTGCTTTACAAAAAAAAACATAAAATATACCATACATTTGCAAGCAAAATTGAAGTTTTGAATTTTATAAAGATATGTTCCTTGAAATTTGCAAGAAATAAACAATTTATTGAATGAAATATTAAAAAAAAAATTTGCATTTATTGAAGATAGTTTAGAGTTAAAAGTTTGATTATGCTACCAATGATATTCTCTTTTTTTCTCATGTTTTTTTTTTTGGTTTGAAAGAATATGTCAGACTGCAAGTGTCAATTAGACCCTTAATATGCAATTAGAAAAGCATACATAGAAAAAAAATGAAATAGATTCGCCAATTTTTGCTGAAAAGAAGCTAAGTTTTTCTAGCTGAAAATGATGAAAATCATCGTAAATAGATAAAAACGACTTGTGAAATACAAAATCATACTGTTGATGAATGCTGCATCGTAATTTCATTAATGCCTATGGAAAGTGAGCCGAAACAAAAATGAGTTTAAATGTTTCTTACCAACAGTTTTACACTAAATTAAATCATCGAGTTTCTTTGAAAATATAATTCTTTCTTTATAATAATTTTTCTCAAACATGATTATGATTATATATTAATTTTTAGTTCTACATTAATGCTTGAATATTTACCATCATCTTTACGTGCAACAATTATAATTGTTATTGAATTGTTTTGGTCATTGGGTAGTATTTTTGAATATCTTATGGCAATGATTATTATACCAACATATGGATGGCGTCTATTAACATTCCTTTCAGCTTTACCTATATCAATTCTTGCTATTTGTATGTATGTAAGTATATAATATATATGTTCGAGACATGAGTTTAATTCGTGTTTTTGTTTTCTAAAACTTAGTTTGTACCAGAATCACCTCGATATTATGTTGCAAGTGGTCGACAAGAAAAAGCTGAAGCTATATTGACAACAATATCTTTAACCAATAAACATTCATTACCACCAGGCAAACTTTTAGATATTAATGCCAAAGTTAGTAATTACAAATGAATTTTTTTTATCTAAATAGACAAATTTTAATAATGAAGGAAAAATTTCGTTTTCTAATGTTTCCTCATAGAGCAAGATCAATTAAATTTACATCAAAAGTTTTACAGATGAATATGTACAATGAGATGAGAAAACTATAAATATTTATTTTGTATAGCTGTAACAAAAATTTACTAATTCTTTGTTTTCATTACTTCTTTTATCAAAATCAATGAAACGAAATACTTAAATTAATATAATTTTGATTAACGACCAAAAAATAAGCAATCAATGATGTGTGAGACCCAAGTACTTTTACTTCCAGTCTCTTTTTTTCTCATGGTATCAGTCTGATCCTAGTAAACCTTCGATTTTCGGAAACAAATGTATTTAAGTACCTGTCATCTACATTCTTCAGTTCATCCTACTGTAGATCAACAAAAGTTTAATAAATCCTACAAATATAATTCTATCGCTCCACGCAAAATTAGATTCTCTATTTTTGTACTTCAAAATAAAAACATTGTGTTTGTTCAAAAAAAAAGAGAGCATTGTACAGTTTTGAAATTCACATTTGGTATGTATTTTGACTACTGTCTCGACAATAATTAAACTCTGTAAAATTTTCAAATAGCATGTTTTGTAGAGAATTGAAATCTCTATAGATTGAGTCTTATCTGAAATATCCATCGGTTATATAAAACAGCAAAAACAATTGAGTATAAGTGTTTCATGATTTCTACATCACTTGTTACCTAATGAATGACAATTCAAAATATGATTTTCTTTTTTTGACGACATTCTTTCTAACGACGTAATCAGGATTTTTAGACCGACGGGCAAACTTTTCTTGTGTCGCAAAAAAAACCGACGAGCAAGGTTTTTATTGATAAGCCAAAACTTTTTTGACCTAAAAAAGTATTAATAACGTAAAAAAACATGCATAAATTAATGTTGAGGATTCTTCCAATATGTATCTATGCATCACATGTGGGGATTTTTCATTAGAACTTGGTCATTTCACGTCTTGTTTTTTTCCTTTATGTTTTCACATAGACGTCTTTGGATTTTTTCTTTCTCATGTATGCGTCACTTAATGTATATGAGTGAATCATACCTTTTTTGTAGGATTATATTTTTGAAATGTTTCTCCTATAAATTTGTTTCTTGGAGTCAAATTTCCAAGCGTCTTTTCTTTCGTTTATTGATATCTATTAGACTATCACAGAATATTTTGGCACATTAACTTATCAACTCATAGAGATATATACATTTTTGCAGAAAGTCAAAGTACAATAAATTGGATTTTCTACGGAAGAAAAGAAAGAAGCTGAAAAATTAATAACCTTGTTTTATCCAGTATCCGACGACCAATTCAAATACATAAATCATTGATAACATTGTTATCTCTTTTATGTTGAGAAACACAAAACCTTTCCTAGAAGATGAAGAAACGTAGCTAGGGATCCAGGAATCAATCCCTTCAAAAGACAAAGCTTTATTCAAGTAACTAGATGATTAAAAAAAGTTTTAGTCTTCTCGCTATTATCTTCGAGAAAACTCAGCTAACTCTTTCAAAAATAGCTTTTTTCATTCATTTTGTAGAGAGACATTTTGAAAATTATTTTAGATTTGTCTTCGGATAGATTGAATCGTTCTCGATGAAGTTTACACACATAAAAAAAATTATATGTACGATAAAAGTTTCAGAGCGGTTTCATACACTCTGCCTAAAAATTTTTGCATTATACGACAAAGCATAGAGAAACACTTTTTAGGAGTTTCCAACCTAACTCGAATGGAATAGACACTTTGCAGTTTCAGCATTATGCTCATTGCACAACAAAAATACGATTCACTCATATACATCTGCACATTGAGATGTTGATGTATATTCTCTTGCTCTGTCCTGCGTTGTTTTCCTTCTCTTTGATCGATCCTTCCCTACATTTATGCGATGTTTTCCCAATAAAATCGAACTCATGTTCAGTCCAGCATACAGTTAAAATACTAGAAATGATTCTTTTCTTAATTCTTTCAAGAAAGAACAAGCAAAGAGTACATATGTGATCCAGACAGAAGAAAAAAAGATACAGTTACCATCTAACTCAAATCTGAAAAATCGACATTTCAATGAGCAAATCTTTCAATGAAATCGAAAATTGCCCATTTGCTTCTCCATTGGTTACGTTATTGATTCTTTCTATAGAAATTCTTCTATTCATTTTAGGAAGAATGTGGTTCAGTAAAACAATTATTTCATGCAAATTTAAAACGAACATCATTTTTACTTGCATTTATGTGGATGACAGTAGCGATGAGTTATTATGGTTTAATATTAATAAATACATCATTAATGACCTTACTTAATGATCAAAAAACTTCAACAATTGAATCAAATCCAATTAAAACGACTCAATGTAAAATGTTAACAACTGAAGATTATATATCATTAATAATTACAACATTTGGTGAGATGTTTGGTATACCATTGTTATTATTTTTACTATCACGTTTTGATCGTCGTACAACATGTATGATTAATTTTTCTTCAGCATCATTTTGTTTTATATTATTTCTTATACTACCTCGTCATACACCATCCATTATTAATATAATAACATTTCTGGCACGAATGTTTATTAATTCACAATTTAGTTTATTATATCTTTATACAATGGAAGTTTATCCTACTGTTATACGTGCTATTGCTGTTGGATGTGCATCATCAATGGCACGAATTGGTGCAATGATAACTCCATATTTAGCCCAAGTTTTAATAAAACAAACATTTCATGGTGCTATAGGTGTTTATGTGTTAGCTACAGCTATAGCAGCTGTTTGTGGATTTTTATTACCAATTGAAACAAAAGGAAGAGAACTTAAAGTAAGATTTTATTTGCATCCCTAGGCAAAAGTCTTTCCACCTTTTCTTTCCAGAAAAACTTTTGAATACGTCCATTCTTTTTTTCTTTTTATTATTGAACTAATGTGTAACATGCATGCAACTGTAAACAATAGACCGAAACCCAAACGATATAGACTTACTAGATATCAATAACATGAAGACGTGTGTAATTTACCAAGAATTTGCCAACTATCTACCATGTTGAAGAAAATAGATATAGAGATTACTAATATTGCTAAACGTGAGCTAAACGTTACATAAGATGACATTTCAAAAATCCTAAAAATATGATCTGTGCTTGAAAATATCAGAATTTCAATTGACATAACTTGATTTTTACCGATGAGCAGATATTAAAACTTGTCAACAATGGAATATAATAAGTAAAAAAACCTCAAATAACTCAACAATTGGAACAAGACTATCTCCAAAAAGAAAGGTATGGAAAACTTTGTCAATTGACTCGACTGTCAAATCAGTTGATGATAAATGCAGCGCTTGATTGAAGCAAATAGTGACTATACATCTAGTTCGGTAATAAAAAAATATTTAAAATTTACCAAAGAAAAGAGAGAGAGAGAGGAAAGACTTTTACCATAATCTAAATAAATAATAGAGAAAACATAAAATTTGTTGAAAACAATAGAGAAAAAAAAACAAAATCTATTTCGTTTACAGGAAACAACTACATGTTTATCTACAGAATCAAACAAAAAGCGGTTTTTCTTTTAGCACAAATAATTCTTTTGTTTGTCTTTGTTACTATATATCGATTTTGTTTTTCTGATTAACAAATATGTATTTAAAACTTGTTATTGTGTGTGCTACACATATTGTGAACGTTTGTGTGCATATCTTGGCTCATACAACCAAAAAACATATCTTTGAAAATTTTTTGCTTGCTTTACTGATGAAATTTCTTAATTTATTTTAATGAAATATATGAATTTAAATTCTTTTTGTTATTCTAGCAAGCAACATTCGATTTGCATAGTTCATCAACACCATCTAGTGACATCGGTATACCTATATGGATGATAACTCTTGATAATATAACATCACCAGTAAATACTGATATTGGTATTGTGAATAAAGGATATGAATCAAATAACGAAAATACAAATGAGGAGAAATTACATTAAAATATAATGTATTGTTATCTTATTTTAATTGATCAATTTTTAAAATTTATTTATTTATTTATTTATTGATTTTTGCTATCAGTTTATCGAAAAATAATGTTATTACTCATTATTTCTATAAGATAAATAAAAGCAATTTGACAAATTTCAAATAAATGTATTCAAAGAGTTAATGTAAAAGATCGATTCCCTGGTTTATATACAGGATGTTTCAAAAATTTGCATAAAAACAAGATAACTGGACCGATCGTCGCTGGGTATGGTTGAGAATATACAAAAGATCTGCACTTATACCCTAGTTGAATTCTGTGCATTCACTGTATTGATGTTATTGAAACATTTAAAGTATAGGCATAGTTATGAGTTCTATTTCGCAAAAGTTAAAGTTTATGATATAACAGCTTACACAACTTTTTCTGTAGTTGAAATCGACGTAAGTCCTCAAAGATAGTCTCTGCGAGAAAATGCTTTATGTCATCATGACCAATATATCAAGTTTCATAAACTCGTAGGAAGATAATTGACACAGACGACTAATACTTGATGACCTTTACTCTTAAGTTTCATGAAATCATTTCGAACAGCTGTTATAGATGAAAACACAATAAGATTATGTTGAATTATTATTCAAACGCATTTTGTTGACACAAAAAAACAAAACAAAAAAAAACGAATTTTTCTCGAAAAACTCTTCATTCACAACATACTTGAAAATTTGTTTACTAGAAGTTTATCGTTATATCTCATCAGAAATATTTTCAGGTAAGATAGATTTCATTGTTCTTGACATAGTTAATTCTTCTTTTATGTATACTTCTAGAAAAAAAACGATAATGACGTATTTTACTTTTTCTTATTTCAACGACTGAACAAACAAAATACTTTCTTTTTTTCGTCGTTTTTATTATAAATCATAATTTCAATTCGAATAGTTCGTTCTCATAAGACCTTCATCGAAGCCATCAATTGATTGTCAAGAATAAAATGAAAAAAAAAAATACAATTTTTTTGTTTTTTTTCTTTCCTCATCATTATTTGTTCTATTTCTCATTGGTTTCTATGTATTTATTCAAATAGTTGTATAATATCAATCAAACATAAGATACTCAGATTTAATTCATGAATGAAATAATCATTATATGAAAGAATGTTTCGTTTTTTTTTTCCTCACTTAAAAAAAAAAAACCACATAAAGAATATAGTAAAATATTACATACACATACACACAATAGACAATGTCAAGTGAGATACACAAGAAAGAAAAAAAAAGATGCCTAAAGCCTAGAGAACTTTTATTTCATTTCCACAAACAAATTGAATAAAGAAGAAACCGGTGTTTTTTGTTTTTTTTTTGTAATCAAAAAAAAGAAAAAGAAAAATGGTTCCTTTTATTTTGTACAATATGATACAAATTTAATGAGAAATAACATCACAATGTTGCTTGATTATTTTTATTATCAATGATGGTTTGTTGTGATGACATCATATTATTATTATCTGTATTATTATTTGTATCATTTGTTGTTTGTTGTTGTGTAGTTATCCATGTTAAACGTTCTTCATAAAATTTTATAACAACTTGTGGACATTTTACATTACAAATACGTGATGGAACAAGATCAGCTTCACTTGTACCTTTCCATTGAACTAATAACATTAATTCACCCTAAAATAAAATATCTTGAAATAGATTATTATTGTTTTCTCTTTAGAATTTGTTTTTTCTTTTTTTTTTTTTTGTATTCTATAAATCTTACTGTTGCATCTGTAGCTCCAAGTATTTTTTCAGCTTCATAACCACGATCAAATGCTGATGCTTCTTCAATACGTGTTGATGAACTTTGTTGTTTTGAATAATTATTTCTATCAAGTGGTGGTCGACCACGTTTATTATGTACTGGTGCTTGATCAAGTGATGATTTACGTTTAAGTGATGATGATGATGATGAATCATTATTCATATAACGAGATTTCTGTAATAAACGATTTTCATATTCTTCAATTAAATCTGGACAATCTAAATTTTGTTGTGGTTCCTAAAAAAATAAATATTTATTACTTTTTTTTTGTAAGATATTTAGGAAATAAATAAAGATTTTTTACCCATGTATTTTCTTCTTCAGGATAACCTTTCCATGCAAGTAAATATTCTTTTCGACCATTTCGAAAACGATGACTAACAATACGTTCAACAATAAATTCTTCACCTTCATCACCACCAAGCATTTGTTGTTTATCTCCACTATTATTATTCATTGTGTATTAAATAAATTTATAACAGAAGAAATCTAAATTTAGACAGCAAGATAGAGAGAGAGAAAAAAACTTTTTCACCAATCGATTACCGAGTATAAATACACAAAGATGAAAACGAGAATGTTCAGATATAATTAAACCAATCAAAATGTAATTGAACATTTTTTTAATACAAATTTTCTTTTTATAATAATTTTTTTTCTTAAATTTATATAAAATAATATATCAATAGTTGTAAATAATCTAAAATCATACTTTCGATAGATGTCATATAGATATTGAATTCGTGTGTTACTATATGGTTTGAAAATATCACCAATAGAATGCTTTTATTGTCAATCTATTAGAAATTGGATGATGTAAGAAATATAGAATGGCAGGGTCAGAAAAACTTAGGCTGGTCTTACTTTGAATTTTAAAAGGAGATATTCTTCTTCTCTTACAGTATAGAAACATTTCGTTTTTCGAAAGCGACTGAATCACCCCGTTCTAGTTCCACTTTAACCACAAGAGAAACGTCAGATAAGGATGTTTTGAGTACGAAATAGTCAATATTAAATTATAGATTAGATCTATAAATCGACAGTAAAAATGTATACATGCATAAGAGTACATACTAACATCTATATTGTATTTAAAATCAAAGAGAAAATGATGAGACTCTACTAGAAGCAAAAAGAAAGAATGAAAATAATACTAGTTATTTAACATTTCAATTTTTGTTATAAAGATACATAACCTTTGAAATGAATATCTTAATACAATAGATTCATTCATTTTTTGATCACTTAGAAACAAGAGATTATAATCGAAAGCAGTTACTTAGAATTAGAATTTTGATGTTCTTTCTGAAATAAAGTTAAACAACTATTAGTAAAGTTTATGAAAAAGTTCATAACAGTAATTGTATAGAATATTATTTTAGTCAATTTTCGATATCAATTGATATCTATTAAATTCACAATGCTAAAACAATTTTTAAGGGATCAATTTTTCAGATCAATATTTGTTGTACAGAGTATACTATTTACTTTTCTAATAGATTTCAAAACAGTCATTTTTTGACTAATGCTGATTTTCATAGAAACTATCTTCTTAGTAGAAACATAGTGATATGAGATTTTGTTATAGAATTCATTGCTCTACAATAATATTGAATTGAACTTGTTTTAAGAAACAAACTAAGGACTAGAATTTGTTGAGTTTAAAATTTTTGGATCCAAACTCAACGGACTATAATTTAGTAAAATATTTTATTTCTATATTTTTTTTTTTTCTAGAGAACTTTTCTCACGTTTCATCAACCTAAAAAGAAATATCTTCTATTGATTCGATAATGGCACTTCGATTGCTTTTATCAAATCGTATGATAATTCCTCAACGAATTTCATTTCTAAGATTCTCTCGTTGTTATACACCACTTACATATGAACATCGTTCAATAATTTTACCAAATTCTATTTCAAATTCTTCTATCTATTGTCATCAACCTAAAATTAATACTTCATTACTATCAACACATCGTACATATTTTCTTTCATCTAAATTTGCATCATCATCATCAAATCCACCAAATTCAAAAGATGGTAATGCACCACCATCATCTCCTTCAGATGGTAATTCTTCATCATCTTTTCAATCTTCAAACGATGGAAGAAGTCAAAATAATGATGATGATGATGGTGGTGGTGGTGATGCAGGAAATGAACATACACATAATACTGTACCTGTTGTAATTCAAGCAGGAAATCCTTTAATGCCTGTTGAAGTACCAGAACATTATCCAATAGTACCATTAATACCAGTTTCACGTCATCCATTATTTCCAAAATTTATTAAAATGCTTGAAATAACAAATAAAGATTTAATGGATTTAATAAGACGAAAAGTTAAATTAAATCAACCTTATGCTGGTATATTTTTACGTAAAGAAACATTAACAGATTCAAAATCACCAGAACCAAAAACAGCAGAAGCAATAAAAGAAAAACTTTCGAATGCAATTACATCAGATATTATTAAAAATCTTGATGAAATTTATAAAATTGGTTCATTTGTACAAATTCATGAAGTACATGATATGGGTGATCGTTTACGAATGATTGTTATGGCACATCGACGAATTAAAATTGTTGGTATTGCATCTGATGATTCAGGAACAGAAGATTTAGATCGACGACGTTTACAACAAAAAACTAATGGTAATCGCAGAAGATCAAGACGAAAAGGTTAATTATTTAAAATAGTTCGATTAAGGAAAAAAAATAATTGTTTTTTTTTTTTTTTTTTAATATAGATGATTCAGTTGTGGTAGAAGAAACATCTTCTGAATCTCCATCAACACCATCTACTAGTGAAGAACCTATTGTTGTCAATAAAATTTTATTAGTTGATACAGAAAATGTTAAACATGATGAATATGAACAAACACCAGAACTTAAGGTATGATGATTTATGATTGAAATTTGATACTAGTCTTATCTATATCATCATATAGATAAAAACATTGAAAGAATTCGTGTCATTAGGTTTTTCTTCTTGTGTTATGCTCATTTGATTGAACTTTCCGTATGTTGCATGACATTATAAAAAAAAAGCCACAACAAGAAATATCCGTCTACAGTTTTCAAGAACAATAGATTTTATAGTCTACATAACAACCTGAAAGTTTCAGCTGCAATTAACGATTTCTCTTTAACATATAAAATATTTACAAAAACGAACTATTTTGAAAGTTTCATCTA